TGTGTCTATTAATGACTTTCTTCCGCGTTATCACTGGGATCTTTCCTTTTACAATTCGATTAAATAATAGTTCTGATGGTTGTACACCTGTGGTACAATGCGGGGTTGTCCGATATTGAAGGAGAAAACGATATAATTCTTGTTTCCATGGTCGTCCTTTGCTGTTCTTAATGCCTTTCCCAACGGTTGCATGAATCTTTCTACCATGGCGTTCCCTTGAGGCCAATAAGGGGTTGAGAACTTGGTTTGAATGCCAAGGGTTTTCATATATCGTGAATACTCGTCTCCATTGAACGGAGGTCCATTGTCCGATATGATTGTGTCAGGTGTTCCATGGACAGAGAAAATTTTGTCCAGTTTCGGAATTACAGTTGAAGCTATTCAACTGTAACAGATATTCAGACGTAGGTAGTGGTCCATAAAAGTCTACGTGTACGACACTCCATGGTAATTCTGGCATTTCTGTCACGCTTAAAGGCTCTGGGTGTTTTGGTCTACCTGCTACTCCATGGTAATTCTGGCATTTCTGTCACGCTTAAAGGCTCTGGGTGTTTTGGTCTACCTGCAGCCTGGCATGCTACACACTGTTCGATTGTGTCTTTTACTCGATTATCAATTTGCGGAAACCATATTTTCTCGCGAATTAGTGATTTCGTTTTTTCAATGCCTAAGTGCGTCTCATGCGCAATGTCTTTTGCCCGTTGTTGCAAAGTTGTAGGGACAACAATTCGCGTTCCTCTCAATATTATGCCGTCTGTGGTGGTTGTCAATTCATTCTTCACTGTTTTGATTGGTTTCACTATTGGTTTTGATTGCGTCACGCAGCTCTAATAATGCCGCGTCGGCATTAGTTGCATCAAGTATTTCCTTTAAGGTCATTGCCTTAGGAACACTGTTTTGAGTTATGAAATTGATGTACGGTTCTGTCATCTTCTCTTGTTTTCGCTTACTTTCATTGGTTGGATGACGAGAAAGATAATCCGCTGCGTTGTTTGCACCTGATTTATATATTATCTTGAACGCATATGGTTGGAGGCGAAGTACCCATCTTTCGATACGTGTGGATGTTTTAGCTGTACGCTGTCCATATATTATTTCTAAAGGTTTATGGTCTGTTACTCAGCCTCGTACCCAGGCGCTTTAATAGTAAAAAATAAAGTTGCATTCAGTTATTGTATAGAGGTCAGCTAAAAAAAACGCGAGCGCGCGCGGGTGCTTGGGGTGGTTTTGCGAAATTTAGCGCCTGGCAGAAAATGAATTCAACATGGAAACAATCAAATGAATTATACAATATAATACAACACAATATAATTATATACTATGATTACTTGAATTAGATCCAGGTTTTTACAGATACACCGGTTTTTAAAAATGTTATAGATTGATTAATATTGAACATTTCATGTTACAAATTATATCCGATAAGTATCACGTATAGAATCAATTTACTTTTAAATTCAGGTTGTTGCCATATCGCGTTGAATTCATCATCGGATTATTAAACCTGTAAATAAAGGAATATGAGTTTATCTCAGTTTATGTCATGAACAGAAACCTCTTAATATGTTGTAAATGCGCTCGCTTTTCCCAATGGTAATATGTAAATACGGCAGGCGATTATTCGAGTACTCTACGAATATAGTCGCTCCGACGGAAAATATTTAAATAAAAGTACCTTCAGATGATTCTTCGCCAAAGGAAACGTTCATAATACTTGGCTAGCCCATCGGCAGTCGATCCAGTAAAAAAAATTATACATAATGAAAATATAAACTGCAAAATACAAGCGTTTGCCAGAAATCGGTCACGATTTGCCAGAAATCGGTCATTTTCTGCCAGGCACTTCCTCGAAAAAAACAACCTCCCCAAGCACCCCCGCGCGCTCGCGTTTTTTCAGCTGAACTCTATATAAGACCTCAATGCAACGTTATATATTTTAGTATTAAAGCGCCTGGGTACGAGGCTGGTCTGTTACTAATGTGAATTCACTACCAAATAAAAATAGATGGAAGTGTTCAACTGCCCAAATTATCGCCAACGCTTCTTTTTCCGTTTTTCCGAGAATATCTTTTCTCAGTGTCGGTCAACGCTTGGCTGGCATACGCAATGATCTGCTGGTTGTTAATGTCACCTTTTTTGGTTTTTTGGGACAAAATCGCCGAAACTCCTACTGGGCTTGCGTCAACGACTACAAATGTTTCCTTCGTTTTGTCGAAGTATGCCATACATGGCGCAGTCGCGAGTGTGTTCTTTAGCTTTTCAAATGCTGTTTGGTGTTTTTGCGTCAACTCAAATCGAACGTCTTTTCTTGTCAGTTCACGCAGTGGAGCGGTCAGGGTTGCAAAATCTCTAATGTATTTACTAGAATAGTCAGCCATACCAAGAAGGCTTCTGGTTTCATGCGCATTATTTGGCTGAGGTGCGTTTAATAAATCAGCGACTCTCTTAGGATCAGGTCTCGTACCTTCTTCCGAGAAAATTTGTCCGAAGAATGACAACGTGTTTCTTAGGAAATCGCACTTGCTTTGGTTTAGTCTCAAACCTTTTATTGCAAGTCGTTGCAGACATCTATAAAGATTTGCGTCGTGCTCGGCTCTTGTCGACCCAAAGACAAAAATATCGTCCGCTATGTTTTTTACGCCTTCAAATCCTTGAAGTGCAGTTTGGAGAGTGTATTGGAATATTTCTGCGGCAGCGTTAGTACCATAGTTCAGTCTTTTGTATCGATACAATCCTACATGCGTGCTAAATGTGGTCACATATCTAGACTGTTCGTCTAATTCTAACTGGTGGTACGCTTGACTCAAATCGAGTTTCGAAAAGAATTTAGCTCCGTTTAGGGCGAAACTCACGTCATTAACTGTTGGTATCGGATGACGTACTCGTCTTATAGCTTCGTTTGCGAGTCTCATATCAACACACATTCTAACCTGTCCGTCTTTTTTGGGAACTGCCACAATGGGAGAAACCCATGGTGTGGCTTCGTTTTCCGGAACTTTCTCAATGATATCTTGTTTTTCAAGCTCAGTTAGCGCGTTTTTCACTTTTTCTCTAATATGATATGGTATACGCCGCTGTGGCTGTGCTTTCGGTGTTTGGGTTTTATCAATGTCTAGTTGAATTTTCTGGCCATTTAATTTTCCGAGTCCCGAAACACTTTAGAGTGCTTATGGATGATGTTTTCAAGTGCTGTATCCTTTACTGGTGTGAGTTTGTCTATATATGCAAGCTAACAAGTCCGAGGTCTTGGGCTGTGGATAGCGAAAGTAAATTTCCACTATTTTCGCCTTTTGTTACGTAAAATGTTGCGACCGAAATCCGCTTCCGTGTTTCTATAACCGCTTCGAATTTGCCTAAGAATTGGACTGGTGATTTCGTATCGTATGCAAAAGCTTTCGTGCTAGTGCGATTTAAGAGCGAGTGTCCGTAAATCTCGAGAATCGGACGACAAATTGGAAAATTCGAAATTCCATTTATTTTACCTATAGTATTATTTTATTATTATTATTATTATTATTAAAAAATACACATAAAGTAGCTTAGACAGCTAAATTACAATGTGATTTACAGGTTCATAAAAATAATTTAAGAAATATTACATTTTAGAATTACAATAATTCATACTCTAATCTATATTACAAAGCTAGAAGTAAATTACAAAAGCTATATTTTAAATATTAAGAAACTAATAAAATAGTTAAGAATCATCAATTTTGAGATTGTACTTACGAATCGCATATACTAGAGGACTATTTCTAAAGCGCTCTGTTCTGCATTTAAAATTGTAAATTTTATTTACATTAAGTCTCGTGTCTCTCTCCCGTAATTGACCTACAGTTGGTGGTAGCAAATCATTGAGTTTATGTGAAGGGTCCTTTATATCCTTTATCAAGTTTATGCACATTAACTCTCTTCGACTTTCCAAAGTTTTAATACCACATTCAGTTAATGCTTGTTCATAATTCTTTTCCGGGCATATAATTTTCATTGCACGCTTTTGAATTCTCTCTATATCCCTAGATTGTTCCTCTGTCAAACTCCCATGCCAAATTTGAGCTCCATATTCTACGATTGATCGAATTGCCGAAGTATAAATAGTTTTCAAGTCATCTCGCGGAGCATTATATCCTTTTAAAATTTTTAAAAGATATAATCGTTTAGCTGCCTTTTTGACAATGTATTCCGTATTTGTTCTCCATTTTAGATCATCGTCTAACCACAATCCAAGTAATTTATACGAGCTTACTCTTTCTAGGATGCATTCATCGACTTCTGTTGCAGGAATAGCTGTTCTATCCTTTCGAAAGTCGATAATCATCTCTTTGCACTTTTTTGGGTTTAACTCCATTCTCTCAATTTCCGCAAAATTCTTTACCGAATTAATTTTTTGGGGTATATTACCAATTTCCGTGCCAGAGATATGATTGTGAACATCCAGTGCCTCACTAATCGTTGTATCGTCCATGAAGAGAATCGTATCTTCATCCACAACGACATCATTATTTCCATTTCCTACAACAGCTTCTGCTATAACATTAGGTAACATATTAATTTTAACCACAAAAGCAATAGGTTTCCAGCTTACTGCCTTGCGGAACGCCTCCCATAACATTCGCAAAATCAGATACTTCGTTTCCAAACTGTGTAAAATGAGATCTCTCGTCCAGGTACGATGCATACCATTTGATCAGAGCAGGTCTTACACCAATTTCTCGCATGTTTTCTAAGAGTTTATTATGATCGATAAGGTCAAATGCCTTTCGGAAATCCAAAAAGACTATTCTTATCACTCTGTGCAGTTCATCCAATGATTTATGCCACTTGTGTATTAAATTAACCAGCGCATTAATTGTCGATGATCGTGGTAGACCCCCATATTGAGAATCAGAAATTTTTTCATCGGTATCTTCATATATCCACTGAACAGCAAAAGATTCTTGAACCTTTGCTAGGACACTAGTTAAAGCAATTGGTCTTAACTCTTTAACATGCGTACATGGTACAGATTTAGGGATTCCAGATACCTTGTATTTTTTCCAGATCTCAGGAAAAATTTTTGATTGAAAAGATTCATTAAAGATTTCGGTCAGAGGTACAGCAAAATATTTTGTAAAAATCTTCAAGATCTTCAGAGAGGGATCATAAGGACCAGGAGCTTTATTAAGGTTAATTTTACGCAATTCTCGTTGTACCTGGTCGACAGTAATTAGAGGTAGATTCTCTATACATTGAAATTCCAACCAATTTTCGTTCACTTTCGGATAATTCTTAGTTAAGTTTGCAAAATAATCGTTTATATAATGAGCAGACTGCTTATCATCCATCTGAAACCCAGTATTGGGATCCAACATTATTGGTTTAGCAGTTTTCTTGCCGATCAAGCCCTTCATTTGTTTCCACCAAGATTTAGGGTTGTTTTTAAAGTTTGGGCTTACTTTATTCTCGTAGAAATCAATTTTCGCTTTCCGAATTTCTGCCGAGACTTGTCTTCTGAGACTTTTCACACGCTCAACTTTTTTATTTTTAAAAGCCATATTCCTTTTAAGAATCAACGATTTTATTTTAGCTGTCATAAAAGGTTTATCCTTACTATAAACTTTAACCGTTTTTTCCGGAAAATATTCAGAAATCATATTCTCAGTGACCTGAAGAAAGGTATTGACTTTTTCATTGATGTCGGAGGTGTAAAGAACCGAAGACCAGTTATAACTTGCTAGTAGAGATTCGAAATTCTCTAACTGCTGCTGTCGGATTTTTCTCACTTTGATTTTAATCGTAGTTCCTTTCTCCGTAATATGAGACTTGGACTTCCAGCTGATGATATTATGATCCGACGTTGACAGTGGGGCTAGGATTTCCGGAGTTTCGTAACAGTCAGCCATGTCAGTGAATATTAAATCAAGGATGTTTCTGTTTCTGGTAGGTTGCGTTACAATTTGTTTAAGATGACAATGCCTCTTTAAACGGTTTTGTTGGAACCCATTACTATCTGGATTGAAATCGCCTCCTAGAATAATTGCCGTATGTGGGCTTTCTAGACAAAGCTGGTCATAACAGTTGTTGATATAATCATAGAAATTGTCAATTTCAGATACATTTAGGTTTGGTGGAAGGTATGCGCATCCTACTGCAATCCTTGAAATTGATCTTGGTAACCACTTTGGGCGGATAGTAATCCATAAGCATTCAAACAGTTGATCGTTTAAATCATCACGCGTTTTTAGTGGTATACTTTCATTGACATATATTGCTACCCCTCCACCTCTACCACACATCGATCTTTTCTGATAATGTTCAGACCAGAAACATTCACAACCTCATCAGGGATTACATCTCTTAACCATGTTTCTGTCACAAGAATTAAGTCAGCAATATACTTATCTCTAAGGATTTCAAGTTCATTTACCTTATTGACTAATGATCTTGCATTCAGCATCATAATATAGGGACAGCTCTATTATTATCCAGGGGGCGTTGTGCTTTTTCAGGGTGGATTCTGATACAGTTATTAACGCAATGCGTTCTGACATTGTTATTTGGTGAACTTTGTCTCTGTTCTGTTATTCTAACAGGAATACTTTGTGTGTTATTTACCTCAGTACTGTCCGACAATGTCACAGGAACAAGGTTTCCTGTATTACGCTTTGATAAACGTGAGCGATATTTACGTTGGGTTATCACAACGGGAATATTATTGAATCTGATTGGAATGTGAGCCATTAGACGTATGTTGAAAAATTCCCATGATGGGTGGTGTTAAATTTGATTTCACGTCTAATGGAATTTCTAGTGCTTTTCGATTGCCACAGATTACATTTGACAAATCTTGGCCAGAAACCTTCCGATTGAACTTCAGACCACATTGAAGATGGTATGTGGATTTTAGCAGATTGGGTTCCTCTTCGTTGACTTCGAAACAGAGCAATGTGAGTAGGTATTATATTTCGTTGCTCTAAATAGGATAAGATCTGATTCTCTTGCACGCTCTCGTGTATTCCAGACAGGAAAAGTTTCTTTACTCTTTTCCGCCTTCTGTCAACCCCAATAAAGCCATCACCTTCAGTATTTCTTTGTAATGGGACACTTAGTAAAGTATCTTCAGGGTTATTAACCATATTTGGTTTTTCCTTAGGTTTACGGGGTTTTGGATGCCTTTTAACCACTTGGGCATAGGATTCTCGACGCGCCACAACACAGCCAACTTCTCTATCAGTAAGAGTCTCGTCAGATTCATCCGACTGACTAGTGAATCCTGCTTCATTGCTTCCTATAGAATTTTTTAATTGATCTGACACTAAGGTGTCATTAGCGTCAGTTTCAATACAGTCTTGGGCAATAACTTGATTTACATTTTCTCTTTCTTCGTTATGGTTAATCGACTTTGTCGAAGACCCCTCTGTAAGGCTTGTTTCATTCTTCCTGATGAAATCTTGAAATTCTGAAATTACTGAAGTTATGTGCAAGATAGAGTTCGACAATGATTGAATTGCCTCGCTATTCACTTGTTGATCTTGCTTCATACATTCTATATCAGTGTAGAAATCAGGCGATTCACCCGAATGAACTTTGCCCATGTCATGTACAGACACAGGTTCTGAGATGTCGTCTTCACACTCACATATATGCTTACATAATTCCTTCTTGAAGTTGTTAGCTTTCGATCCATTAAAGGACAACAAGTTCTTACTCTTTCTCCAGAGGATCGTCGAATCTTCGGTTGTGAAAAGCTTTCTATCCCCGCCGGGTTGAGACCAAACACCATCAAGTTTGAAGGTTTCATAAACAAACCTTTTCAACGATTCATAGTCCCCGTTCCAAGCTAAACTTAGCTTGTTTGTTATCGCCATAGCATAAATCAAATAACTTATAACTCTTGTACCAGTTTGGAGCTTATTAGACAGCTTATTAAGTTGAATATGTTGAAATCTTATAAAGAAATTTATCGGAGCTAAATTTTCACGTCCGCCATGTTCATTCGTCCACAATACTGATCAATACTGATGTTTGGGTTTTATCAATGTCTAGTTGAATTTTCTGGCCATTTAATTTTCCGAGTCCCGAAACACTTTAGAGTGCTTATGGATGATGTTTTCAAGTGCTGTATCCTTTACTGGTGCGAGTTTGTCTATATATGCAAGCTAACAAGTCCGAGGTCTTGGGCTTTGGATAGCGAAAGTAAATTTCCACTATTTTCGCCTTTTGTTACGTAAAATGTTGCGACCGAAATCCGCTTCCGTGTTTCTATAACCGCTTCGAATTTGCCTAAGAATTGGACTGGTGATTTCGTATCGTATGCAAAAGCTTTCGTGCTAGTGCGATTTAAGAGCGAGTGTCCGTAAATCTCGAGAATCGGACGACAAATTGGAAAATTCGAAATTCCATTTATTTTACCTATAGTATCCACTGGGTGAGCTTTTTAAAAAAATGTAGTTCAAAAGTCGCAGCTTCTTTTATTTTTCGAGAAATTACTTAAACATGATTTTGGGGCCCTTAAGTCAATTTTCATCGGTCAAAATACAAGATTTTGAAGCATTCGTGACGGCCACCTTTTAAATGTATTACGGCTGTTTTTTTAAATATAATCGAAGTACATCTCTATATTTTGTTTTACTAGCAAAATCTTTTTTGATTACGAAGTCTTTCTTGACATTTAAAAGTAGCAAGTATATGGTGTTTACGGCTCACAACAGAAAGGCCATTTTTTGTCAATTTCAATGTGCCCAAATGAACCGTGGTACATGACAAATTGCAATGAAAATAAGACTAACTTGCAAAGTAGCCTTCTGTTTATAACATATTAAAAAATCTCTGGCGGCAAGCAAAACCCGCACCAGTGAGAAGTCAAAATGTTGATGCTATTTTTAGATGTCGGTGCATCATAATTGTACATTACACCGGTAATTACATGCAGTGACAATGTGACAAATTTGTTGCATTTCAAAGATGCAGCGCAGAGTAAAGAATACAACAACAATATTACTGTTGGAGAAAGTTAAAAATAGTACATTATTGTTTTAAGTGATGAAAATGTTTTTAAATCAAATTAAAGAGGTGTTTTATCAAAGATCAATCAATTATGACACAAATGCGTCACTATATAACACTGTTATTATTTAGTAAATTCCTTGAGTATATTCTATACAATAAATAACAATTCATATATTAAATACTTTAATAAAGAACAATTAATCACAAACGACAAGCAAAGATTTGTATAAATGACAGTAAAACTAGAAATCAAGCGAAATAGAAGCACAAACAAGACATTAATTGTCCTTATATTCACTATATGCGTGGAAGGTATACAAATATATAAAATATATAAACGGATGTGCCAGTTAAATATCGTGCACAATAATCAACCCGGTCCAGAATAATTTTGTTGATGCAAACGAAATTAACAAAAGCAGAAAAGAGGGAAAACTTAAAATTTTAAAATTTAGAAGTTGCTTTGGGCAATCTGAGTGAGCGAACGATTATAGCATACCAGACATTTTAATCTTTAACTTTGTAAACAATTACATTATGACATACTTTTGGACTTGAAGAAATAATATCTAACATGCAAACAAGAAGGAAACTGTAGGATGGCATCGTGTTCCTATGCAACACTAGTTGGCGGTCAGTGTGGACCTAGTTCGTACAATCCTTCTATTGTAGAATGCGTAACAATCAAGGATTGTAATAAGGACATTTTAAACCATTGCTCACAATATAAAATTAGTAACGATTGTGGCCTGTCTGGAAGTGAATCAATGTTACTTCTTGCTCGTGCAGGTAACCTCACCGAATTTTATATTTATTTTTCATCCTTTGACTTTGTTGACTTACTGTTTGCAAATTTTAAAGATTGTAACTAAAACGTATCGGTCTTCTTTAGGAATTTTTGAAATCGACGAGTCACACATGAAGATGACAGTGTGTCCTTTACATCGAGATTTGTATGGCATTCGCTGGAGGTGCAACAAGACCAGATGCTCAATTCAAAATGACCTTGCAGCACATAAATCTTTATCCGTCAAAGCTCAATGTGGACTGACAACTTTATTATCATCTTTTATTTTTAACAAGACCAAGATAATTATTCCGGTGGGAACAGGTACGAGGTTAATTTATTCAGTATACATCTAGCTATTTCCTGCGTATAAGGTCGGCAGGAAACGTGAGAGAAGTATGAGGATATTTTACTATGCATGCACAAGTAGTGCAGGTTTTGCTTTTAACTGAGTTTCTACGTTTTTTTGTAGAATGAAGAATTTACTTACTAAACTTTTAGCAGCAATGCCTTTATTTTACAGGATATGCAGTATACATTATACTGTATACGTTAACTTTTTTCTTGTTTTAGGGATATGCAAGAGCTGTAAAGAACATTTAGCTCATCTGGCAACAGAATGGAGAACTAGTAATTTAGGTTCAACTGACGACAAATCAAGTAACTGCTTAGAATTATCAACACCTCTGCCGCAGATTAACGCAGAACAGCCGGTAATAAGAAACAATTTTAACTTTATCACGAGCCATGATCCATGCACTACATTTTAACAGCTTCTATTCTTTATTAGGGAGACAGTAATACTGGTACGTCAGATGAGCTTGTTGAAGAAATGGATAAACTTGTACTTAACGAGACCAGGTGGAGCATCTTCTCTCCAGACACTGCAAGTTCTACATCATCATCTTGTGACGTTACCGATGTTTCTTCTTCATTGGTTGCTAGAAAAACAAAGCTAAATGAATATTTGGAAGCCTGTAATATTCATCCTTTGAAAAGACCAATGTCAGATTGGGACCAGACATCAGAGCGCACACAAGAACGATACATCCAAAAAACATGTGAAATTGTCTCGTCAGTGTTAAATGATATTTCATCCACTAATGCCCCACATCTTTGGAAAGGGCTTCAAACTTCCGGAAGGATGAAGAAAGCATTTGGATTAAGCCATCAGCCAGCAGAAAAAGCATATTTAGAAGCCTTAGCCGAAGCGTATAAAACGGCAGATAGCTGGGATACTCGGCGCCAAGTCTTATCTACCATGTCCGATGTGGCTAATTTTAATGTCATTTAGAATATATTCCTGGTCTTACACACTACCGTTTTACTATGGCTAATCTTCATCGACTTCAGTATGGAAGGTGCGCTCCAGTTCCGTTAAAGACATCGCCTCGTCTTCGTATATGTCAGCAACAGCTTGACCATTTTCTGAGTTTTATAACAAGCCCCCATTTAGTGCAAGACTTGCCGTTTG